CCAAAGGTGAAAAATGTACTCTTACATATATTTTGGTTTGGATATTTATATTTAGTATGTCCTTAAAGTTGAAGAGAAAGAGAGTCGTTCCGCAGTATGCTTTAGTGGATTTGTGGCTTTGGATGTGGCTGCTCCGCAAGGTCCCCTCTGGTATTAGCACATTATTTTTATTGTACTTATTTTTTCTTATGATATTAGTATTATACTATATAGTATTTGCAATTGGTTAATTTCATACACTTGCAGGGTCTTGGGGGATATATTTCTTGGAGCATACCACACAGTATTTGACTATGGTAATCTTCGAGTGGGATTTGCAAAAGCAAGTAGCTATTAATTATTTCAAATATATATATATATATATATATAAATTATTAACTACTATTTACTTGAATAGTTATTACGTTTGTTTTATTAAAAAATTATGAATTCGAATCTGATAGTTTTCTAATGTTAGATTCATTTGCTACTTAGCAATGAAATAGTAAAATAAGCAGAGGAGGAATCTTCACCTTCAATTTTGCAGTCGCCATTGTACTTTGCAATCGCCCATTTCCTTCTATGGTTTTATTAGGGTTGTCTATTAGCAACCCAATTGGATCTAAGTGTTAAATAATATTTTACGGTAATAAAATAAAATAAATTTTTAAATTTTATTAATTAAAAAATAGTGATTATAAAAATTATGTATATAAATATATTTTTATACCCTCGAACCAAACTCTTTTATTTTGATCAAATTGAGACTACGCATAAACTGATCAATTTGTTCAATCTCTTACTATGTTATCTAATTTTATTCAGATTTAGTCCAAAACACACACCGGTAAAGATTAAAATTGTTTAAGTAACGCTAAAAATGACCTTATTTGGTTTAGAACTTTGAAATTTAATCATTGGGTATTACTCTTGGGGTTAATATGTAAATATTTTTTTTTATGGGGGGTTAATATATAAATATTAAAAATAATACAAGAAGTACACAAATTTCTATTGATTACTATTTATAAATTAATGGGATGCAGTTTGGGCTTTATTTAATTGAGACAGGCCCAATAAACCCTGTAAATTATCCACGGCCTTAATTAAATTCCCAATAAAATTTCGAAAATCTTCTTTTTGGGGCCCACTTCGTCTAGAAAGTTTGACTCCATTGCTAATCAGCGACGCCCACGTATTGATTCATACGGTACTTAAAATATGCTTGCTTGCACCGTATCATTCACGCCTCCGTCCGGATGGGAAAGTATACAGGCTCTATATCCCCGTCGACCCGATGCACTGAGCATTGTTCCTTGCTTCATTTGCACTTTGAGAAATGGCTGCTAGGTTCTTCAGGAGACTGGCTAAGTCCACACCAGTTGCAATTGCCAACACGTTCGGGAGCCCCCAACCCAAGTTCTGTTTCAATAGATTCCGGGTTCCATTCGGTGCGATCGCCGCAATTTCTGGAGGAATCTCCTATTATTACTTCTTCGACGAACCACATTTGGTAATCTCTTTTAATTAATACCATATGAGTTTTCTTCCTTTGCGTTTGTAGTTTACTGTAAAGGTTTACAGACTTGGGAATCATCTTGTCCGCATTTGGTTCTTCTTGGTTGTCAATGCGATGCGTAGTTTCTAATATGTGTTTGCTTCTTTTCGCCTTTTCCGGCCGATGGCTGGCGTAAGCGTTTTTGAATCGGCATTTTTTATGCTCACATAGTTTCTTTTAAGTGGGACATATAGAGTGAGGATTTGGGAGACTGGAATAATGGGTTTGCTTTGCTTATCCTTAAGCTGGTGTAATTTTTTATCGGAGCATGTGAAGGAGTTTTGTTGGGAAAATTGGGTGGCAAAACGGATTCCTAAATGGGTCGCTATCTTGTAATCTTTACTTGTCAAAATGGTTTAATTTGTTTGCTTTCCTCAGTACTTTTGTGTCAGAGTGGTGTTGGGTAAGCAAGTTGTAGACAAAAATTTTGGGGGTCTGGCAGGTTATCGTACTGATCATTGTGTTTGGTGCATTTTGGGATTTGTTAGGGAGATCACATTAATCTGGTCTGTTTCTTTTCCCCAAATAGTGATATAATAATGTTATCGGTCTTTTTGTGAACTTGAAATTTTATATCATTGTTTGTTTGGACTTCTGAAGTGTTGCCATGCTCTATGATCACAGGTTCATCTTGATCAAGTCAAGGAAGATACAGTTCCTAAAGTTGGTGAGTCTCCCCTCTGTTTCATCATCTACTGCATAAAATAGATAAAGACCGCTCGGGAGATATATGGTGATGAGAACATGTTGGATTTTTTTTTTTTTTTTATTTAGATGCAGAATCTTTTCTTGTTATATGGTTGAGCCATAAAATTTCCTCAGGATAGTCAAGTTCAGAACATCTTTTGTAGCTTTCCTGACATTTTCTACCTTGTTATAAGCTGAAACAAAAGCTTTTTGTATTTCAGCTCTCAATCCAGATAAATGGATTGAATTTAAGCTGCAAGACACTGCAAGAGTTAGCCATAATGCTCAATTGTTCAGGTGAGCTCTTTGGATAAATAATTCTAATTGTAGTTTGAATACTTAAAATGTGCATCTTAATCTATTAAGTTGTGGCGCTTATGGGTTATTATATTTCTACCTTTGAGACTGGTCTGTGTACTTGACATGGTTCACATTTGAAATTCTCTGTTACTTCTAAGATAAGAAAGGTGCAGTATTGTTGGTGAAAATGTAAACCCTCTCTAAGCAAAAAGAAAAAGAGAAATATATGGTTGTTCTCAACCTTTAATTTGCTGAATATAACTCCGCTGTTTTTCCTTTTTAGAAATAAAATTTGTTAAAGGCCAGTTAACGAGGTTTGAAATGATTATGATGGCAATTGCTTCTGCAGTTTGGTTGAGTATTTATATATTGTGGGATACATAATATTTATTTTAAAAAAATAGTGGGATACCTAATTTAGGCAAACAAAGCATAGAAAGTGAATGGAGTGTAGGTTTACAAAAAAAGTGATTCCATAGGAAATTTTGCAGGTGGTATAACTTTCATATACTAAAAGCCAAACTTGCGCCTCCTTTTGCGTTTTATATTTTTGGTTCATTTTTATTGCTTTTTGAGATGAAAATCTAGTTAGCATCAATATCTCATATTCGATGACTATTTTATAAAATCCATGTTACTCTCAAATGGACATACTGGTTTATGGGATTT